CTTTCTACTAGAGTTAAGCACACTAAAGAGTCTATGCAGCTTGAAAATTAAACAATTCAGTGTAAGGAATGGAATGGCAACACACACTAAGCAGTGGAAACATAACTGCTCTGCTATTTAACAAACCAAGAACTACAGTTTGTGGCAAAAATGTAAACTACAACCAACACAATTTGGGTGTCGAGGACTTTGAGGGGGGAAAAGCCTTTAAATTAGGAACCAGCACTTACAAATAAAAAGGATATATATTATTGGATTAGGAAATGTTTAGGATAGAAACATTCTTAGAAAGCAATAAAAATAGGAAAAGCAAATTGATACTAAAAGTATTTTAATACACAAGTTGCACAGTCCAAGCACTCAACATTTTACATATTCTCCTGGCTAAATAAAGCATTAAAAAACCCCAAAACACTCCAGAATTTCAAAGTTCAGTAATATTCATGTTAATACATACAAATAACTGGATGATCAGAACGTTCTTACCTAAGCATATGTATTTCCCATGACTAACTCTCAAGTTAGGTAGGTGCATTTTCCCTACATATGTCTAATTTAAATTTAAAAAGAAAAAGGGAAACTAACCAAAAATCCAAAAACTAGAATCGATTTTTCTTACAAGTCAATCAACATTTATATGGCTTTACAACAGTGTTAAAACTGGCAGGCAAAGGATATAATACAGTGTTCCCAATGCTGAGAAAATTTGGAGGAATTAAAAAGCAAGTGGGCTTTTCTACTAGATAGTAATGCAAATTCCAAGTGTAAACTTAAAAGTTTGCTGAGGCAAAGACACATTGCAATAGAAAGCATCATGATTAAACATTTATACTAGGACTTATTCCCAAACCTTCTGGAAATTGTCACTGCTGGCTAAATTCTTAAGCTCAGTACTGTTCAACTCTGCTCAGTTTTTGCCTAATACAAATTCTATATCCCTTTGGGTAAAATAAAAGTATATTTTAGTTGATTTATCTTCATTATTTAGCTTTTAATAAAAATAAGCGTTAAGTAACTAATACCACAATAATTTTAAAAATACAGAAGCAAACTGTTACCATAGCATAGTTTATTTAATACAATGTTTAACTATAAAAGTTGATAGTCTGAGTTTAAATTCTGTACAATGCAGTTTGCAGAAAACAGTTCAAGTTACCAGACTAATGATAAGAGAAGCAGCATTTTGAAACATTTTACAATTGTGACAAGAGCTTTATTCCTAAATTTCATTAAAAAAATATACATCACAGTGACTTTGAGCTTGGAAAAGAAGTGCATTAACTTCATTTGTTTTTCCCTTCCACAGAGAGCAGCCACAACTTTTAACATCCCCACATACAAATACCCAATTCATTTATCAATTCTTCAAAACACTATAAACACAGAAAGGAGAACAATATACAGCATGTGCTTTTGATAAACAGGAATTTGCTTTAAGCAAGAAAAAAAAGGACGGGGGCGGGGGGGGAGAAAACGCAATTCAAATCCACCACTTACTCCCGTGCCTGAACAACTCCATTCTACCTTGCTGATGGAATTTTTAAAATTTATGATTTTTTGGAAAATATTTACTTCTTGTGTCATGTCACAGCCCAGAATCTACCACTGCCTGAATCCTTTAAAGGCAGCTGGAAAGCCCATTATGGGCATGAGTCAGCCAATACTGTACTTTCTCGAGTTTATTTTTAAATATTTGTAATACATCTTTTCACAATAAACATTATAAACCTACAGTCCTTGGAGACTTTATTCAATTCTAAATGTATAAATACTAAACTGAATAATTTTAGTAAACACGACCAAAAGGAGACAGAAAAATACCCATTTTTGTTCCTTTATAACTATCAACTATATGGTATACATTTAAAGTACTTCTGGTGAAGGTAAAGGCTTGGAACAAGTTTCTGTAGAAACTTGCTAAAGGTTCAAAGTATGATGAAAAAAATTGCCACCCAAGTTGAAGCACAATGAACTACTTACAAGAAAAATTACTAATGTTCCATATACTGACTTGAAAACAAATTAGAATTGTCAATACCACTACTCAAAATATGAGAAACCTAATGTGCTCTTATCTGTAATATTATTAATATTTTACTTTTCAGGTTCCTATCTACCACTGGGTACAAGAATCAAAGGTGCCCTGGCTGTGTAGGTCAATTGGTTAGAGCATCGTCCTGATACACCAGGGGTTCAATCCCTGGTCAGGACACATAAAAAGTAACCAGTGGATGCATAAATAAATGAAGCAACAAATAGATGTCTCTTTCTCTCAAACAAACTAAAATCTAAGGCAATTCAGCAAACCCAGTATGAATCTGTATCACACTTGTGTAGAGAAATACTGATTAAATTCTTTGAAACTTCTGTGAAGGCTTTGATTTAAGGAGTTTAGAAACTACAATGGTCTATGTATGAGCTAACTACATACTTTTAAAATGTTTTAAATCAACCAAGCAGCTTCTCTACTGCTCACTTAGCATCAGTCTATTTCTTGGATATTGCCAATCAAGCAATAAGGACAAACCAATTTAAGTATCTTTAAGAGGGCATTAAGTCAAAGACAGTTTGAGCTAAACTATAAGCTCAGGCATAACAACAAAAATCAATGACAAGAAGGTATCAGAAGGCTGACTTTTAGGGAAACTGAGTGTGTTTAAAGTAATAACTAAAGGTAGTTCAACTATTAAAAATGTAGTGGGAGAAAAGGACCATTTGAGCTGTGTGCTATTCAGATGCAAAGGAAGGTATAGTAAATGCTGCTTATTCATTTTCTAAATGTTGTTTATATTCTGAATATAAAATCTAGCTGATTGTCACCTCTCATTTCCTTTGCCATTATATGCTCCATTGTTAAAAATAGCTAACAAAGCTTAAAAAAGGACCTATAGCCCTGGCTGGGTGGTTCAGTTGGTTGGAGTATTGTTCCATACACCAAAAGGTTGCAGATTTGATCCCCAGTCATGGCACATACCTAGGTTATGGGTTCAATCCCCATTAGGGACACATGTGGGAGGCAACTGATTGATGTTTCTCACACTGATGTTTTCTTTTCCCTCTCTCTCCCAAATCAATACACCCTCCAGTCAGTATTAAGAAAAAAATAAAAAGAAAAATACGTGTAAATAATGCTTAGCACGGGGCTGCTCTTCTGATAACCAAAATAAAAGACTATTACTTACAGAAATTACTAAAATTCTCCCCCCAATTGTTACTTGCCTATAATTCTTAGTAGATAAAGCTCTGGGTCATCAGACAACATAGAAGTATGTTTACCTATCATTTGTTTTTTAAAATATAACTGTTTAATAGAAATCCTTTCTTAAACAGCACCTCTCTCAAAGCTCCAATAATTTATAACAAAGATTTTAAAAAATGCAATTTACTGAATTTAAAACAAACATTAACCAATTTAAAATACGTAACAGATTATACAGCTTGGGCACTCAAGACTCAACTATTCCTAAGGTAGGTGTGTGGTCAAATTTTCAAAGGAATCAATCATCCTAAATTATCATAAATATCTACTTTATAATCAGGAAAACAATCTGGAAAGACTCCAGATTGTGGATATTTGTTTCAAAATATTCTGAACAATTGTATAATCATTACCCTATTCATTATGCAAACAGCTACCATAGTATCATCAATGTATTAATCAATAATGGGAAATATGTTAAGCATTGCTTTGCTCAGTACAAACAGCATTGAGTAGCTACTGTTTTACCAAGAAGCTGCCCTGGTAATAGACTTGACACTATACCGACAAATATTAAATTACAAAACACTGTAGAAGCTACTTATTCATTGGAATTCTGAAATTTCTTTTCAAATGAGGCAGGTTTTGTGTTTGCTGGATGTTCAATATTTTATTTAGAAGAGAAATTACAGAATAAAAGGCCACACATCACAAAAATTGCAATATACAACACATAAAATTCTAAATGGACTTTAGATATCATTAACGTTTAACTTTGTAAGCTATAAAATTTTGCAACTTTCTACTCTATGTGGCAATGTTATACATGCCCAGTTAAAATAATTTTAACAGTACTGCTATAAACCACCTGAAAAGAAAGAAACCAGAGTCATAAACATGCTGAAGCCTACTGTGATACATATATAGAAAAGATGCATTTTTCTTGCCATTTGAATCTCACAGCTACGAGAATTAGAGCAGTTTAAAAAACAAAACAATCAAACAAAAACAAAACAAAACAAAACAAAACAGAAAAACACATGCAGAGTTAACACTCAACTTTATATAGGTCAGTGGCCAAAAAGAAATCTTGGAAGTTAATGTGGCAATACTAACAACTTTTAAAATCTGTCTAACGTATAAAGAGTTGCACAAGTGGTATGCTTTAGTAAGAAAAGGGTTTTTTCCCCCACTTGGGAGAAGGATAATAAAACAATGTTCTCAAAAAGCAAAAGTTTAATCTCTTTAGAGCAAAAGCATCACAGATAGAGAATCACAGTCTGATCTTCCAAGGCTAACTTGTCAGATGCTGTATAACAGCAAGTCAAGCTCACTCAGTACATCAACTGAAAAAAATACTCAACTATTTTACAGACAGTTAAGTAAAACAAGCGTAGACATGAAAAATATTCATATGAAACAAGCTACATGTGGAGCTATAAAGAACAGCACATGAAGTACAATATAAATAAGTATTTTAAAGCACAAATTACTATAAAATCAAAAGTGATGACTTCAGATCTCAAGCTATTAGAATCCTGCTTCTGCATAATTAAAAGCTGCTGCCTCTATTATAAATCCAATCAGAAAATCTTTACAAGATTTTGTCTATCTAGTGGCTTCTAAAGTTCCTTTAATCATGAGAAACACAGGCTTTTGTAACAATATATTCCAACAATCAGTTATGCTTGTTTTCAAATGATGATTACACAAGTTAGGGTACAGAACAGCATGTTTGCCATGGGCTGATTGTTGCAACACAGAAATGTATACAGGAAATAGTAAAACACAGCACACAGTATTACACCAAAGTTTTTCTCATTTCAAGTTTATTAAAACTTTAGCAGTACAAATTATCCAGGTTGCAGATTATCAAAAGATCAACTCAAGGAAGTCCACATTTAAAAAAAAGGACAAACATAAACCAAAAACAACGAAAAAGGGAAAACAACATAAAGATCCATCAGCAAAAGTCTCTAAAACTTAAAATTCAAGACAGAATGGAAATAAGAAGTTTATACAACTCACTCATCCACTTTTGTCTTCATCTGTTCCAGGGCTTGATTCATGATCAAATTTTTTATTTTTATCATGTACATGGTCATTTTCTTGACCCTTTGATTTTTGGTTTTCTTTTTCCACTGAGGATCTGGTCTTCCCATCCTCCTTATTTTTCAATGTGGAAAACTTTAATTCATTGTCCTGACTACTTTGTTTTATTTTTGAGAATGGACTTTGATCTCTATCAGCCTTTTTATCCCTGTTATTATTTGAACTACTATAATCACGATTTTTAGAGTACATTCTCTTTTCACCCTCAGAATTTTCTTTTCTGTGTGAACTCTTACTTTCTTGGTTTCTGTATTTTTCTTTGTTTCTGCTTTGACTTTCTTCTCTCTCTGAGCTCCGTGAATCTCTCCTCCTTCTCTTTCTATCTTTACTTCTTGATCTTCCTGGTGTTGCTCTTCTCTCTCGGCTTCGTGACCTTCCTCTTCTCCTGTACTCCTGTTCTCTGTACCTATGGTACTCCTTGCTCCTGCTACGATCACGGTCATGGCTTCTGGATCGCACTCTCCTGCTCCTGTCCCTACTTCTGCTTCGTTCCCTTGTTCTACTATTGTAACTGTGTTTGCCTTTAGTTGCATCACGTTCTCTACTCCTAGACTGTGCATGTCTTTCCTTTTCCTTACTTTTATTATGATCATGCTCATTACTTTTTGATTCTAACTGTTTAGACTTCTCTTTACTTCTACTCCTTTCCTGATCTTTTCCTTTAGAATCAGATTTTTCTTTTTCTTTAGCATTCTCATGATCCTTCTCTTTACTCCTTGACCTCATCTTCTTTTCTTCATGTCTACTATGCTTTGTATCTCTTTCCTTGCTCTTTGATTTCTCTTTGCTTTTACTCCTACTTTTAGATTTGGCTCTTTTCTTCACCTTGTTTTTATTATACTTATCATCTTTTTCTGAATTTCTTCTGACATCTCTCTCTTTGCTGTTAGATTTATGGTCTTTAACTTTCTTTTCCTTTTCACTTTTTCTATTTGGACTCTCAGACACATGCCTGTGATCAGTTACTTTCTTCTCTTTTACTCTAACTGGGCTTCTCTGATTTTCTTTTATTTCATTTAACTCACTCCTAAAAAATAAGAAAAAAAAGTTTTGAAATTTTATTAAGACTGGTATCTATCATAAGCTAAAACGATATTCTACTTTCATTAAGATATTCAGAAACTTTATGTGTAATAGTAAAAAAAAAAGAAAAAGCAAAAACAAAACAAAAAACAACTTGTCACTACATTTGAAACAATATAGTTAAATCTTACTTATCCCCTTTGATCCATCTTTCACCACTTGATACTCTCATTCTTTGAGCTCTTTGCATCTCTTGCCTCCAATGTGGAGGAGTCTCACTACGTCTGAAACGATCCCTTGATCTGGATCTAGATGGAGTTCGATAACGCTTAAGAAAATAAAAAGGGAAAAAATTAACATAAAAATATAAAGGCATTATGTCACAGCTAAAGTGTATGTATTTCTAGGTTCCAATAAAATGTCTGATATTTCTATGCCTGATAAAAATGTCCCAATTTTCAGATAGGAAATCAATGAGGCAGAAATACTTTAAATAGTTATACTATAAGTTCCAAATAAAAAGCATTAACCATAGAAACTCCAGCCACCCACGTCTTTTCTATGGAACTGTCCTATTTAAGTGATGCTAAAGCATAACAGATGCGAGGAACCCTTACAAGTTGCCAAGTTACAATTTGAAAATATGTACGAGTATTCTTGATGTCTTAAAGCAAATAGTTCCCGTATTATGAAAAAAACTGAGTAAATGCAGAGATGCTCGTTTTTTCAACTAGTGTTTACTCAACTCTTAGGATAGCCAACCACTCTACCACATACTGAGGAAACATCAGGAAGCCAAGACACACCTGATTTTGCTCTACTGTAACTTATATTCTACAAGGCTAGGAGAACACAGGGACAGGCATATTATCACACATGTCAAGCATATATAAAGTGACAATTAGAATGAATGTAAAAGCAGCAAAAGACATTCAGAGAATACATAAAAACGTTGTCTGATCTAGTATGGGTTAAACAATTAAAAGCTGAGAATTAAAGAATATACATGAGCAGTTTCCTAGGCAAGGGTGAAAAAAAAGAGGCAAAGGTAGTGAGGATAGATGCATGAGAAAGAACATGTGAGGAATATGAAACATACCACGTTTGAAGGTCCTGAGATAGGAAGAAACAGCATGTTTTAGAAATGATCAGAAGACAGATCAAGTGTGGCTAAAGACAAAAACTAAAAACTACAAGGGAAGGTAGTACTTGATAATACTGATGATGAGGTAAGAACTAGATTTTGTGAGGTCTTGTAGGCCATGGTAACAATTTTGGATTTATCATAAGGTCAATGACAATAGAGTGACATATTAGATTTCAACTTTTTAAAAAATTATTTATTTATTTATTTAGAGAGGGAAGGGAGGGAGACAGAGAGAGACATCGGTGTGTGGTTGCTGGGGGTTCTGGCCTGCAACCCAGGAATGTACCCTGGCTGGGAATTGAACCTGGGACACTTTGGTTCCCAGCCTGCGCTCAATCCACTGAGCTACGCCAGCCAGGGCCAGATTTCAATTTTTAAATAAATAATCACTCTGAATACCACTGAGAAAGGGTTACAGTGATTCTCGAAGTGTGGTGTAGGGATCTCAAGACTTGGGGTCAGGGGGAAGGTGGGAATCTGTGAGGTCAAACTATTTCCATAAGGGAGCTGCTGCGGAGCTCTGCAGCAGTTATGGTGCAGCAGCTTTCCTGGGAGGAGGTGTCACCCTGTGTGGGAGTGCCAACATCAAGGCTGAGTTCTTCTCATTTGTCACCAACAGCATTTTATATCAGCGTGGCATTTATCCACCTGAAAACTTGACTTAAATGTAGAAATATGGACTCATCCTGCTTAACTACGGATCCTGAGCTCATGAAATACCTAAATACTAATGTGGTAGAACAACTAAAAGATTGGTTATACAAGTGTTCAGTTTAGAAACTGGTGGTAGTCATCTCGAATGTTCAAAGTGGTGAAGTCCTGGAAACATGGCAGTTTGATATTGAGTGTGACAAGGCTGCCAAAGATGACAGTATACCCAGAGAAAGTCTCAGAAAGCTATCAAAGATGAAATCTGCTCAGCGATCAGACATATCACAGCTCCGGTGACATTTCTGCCACTGTTGGAAGTTTCTTGTTCATTTGATCTGATCTATAAAAATTTGACTGTACCTGAAAAGTGGGAAGAATTGGGAGCACAGTTCATTACCAATTCTGAGCAAGTCTATCTGTGTTCATTCACTACTATAGTCCACAAAGTAAACAGTGCAGTGGGTGGCCTATAAAACCTCTGTCCTTGATTGAAGATAAGAAACCTAATGTAATTTTCAAATGTGTGTTTACTGAAACAAAGTCAAGTGTAGCTCAGGTTGTATTTCACTGATTAGTTTTTAGAGGGAGAAAACTTAACATTGTACTTTACTGAACTCGGCATAATTATTCCATTTTCTGGTACCTGTTTAACTTTCCATAGTGTTGACATACTGTATTTTTTGGACCATAAGAAGCACCTAGGTTTTAGAGGAGGGAAATAGGGAAAACATTTTTAGGCAAAAAATGGGGTGAAATATTTAGTAACATAAATAACATAATATTTACCAATGTAAATGGCATTAACAACCATTATTCCTCCCAAACTGGGGGTGGAGGGTACATCTTATAGTCCAAAAATATGGTAATTTTTTGCACACTGTTCTAAAGGGAGCCAACAGGGTATATCAGCACTGTAATGTCAATTCCTTTGAAGGTGTAAACTGTAGGTGGAAAAACTTTTGCTATAGAGCTAAATACGGTCTTAAAGCTATAAAGGTCTTCCTAAATACAACCTTTTGGTCAAGTAGCTTTGACTCAGAATATTGGTAAATATGACGCATGGCAAAAGAAGTCTGAATGAATATTCAGAATGTTTGTTTAGATCCTAAAATAACTGATAATCCACAATAACAAAATACTGCTATAAGGTCCTTTTGCCATTTATTTTATTTGTGCAGTTTCCATGTTGAAAAAATCTTCAATTATTTGACTTAATGTGTATAAGTTATACTTACAAAGCTATCATTATTTCTGCTGTTTAAATTCTGGTGAAACAGAACTCTTACAAATGTCTTTTTGTATTTTATAAAATCAAACTTTGAATAAAAATGATAAAGTTAAATGTGTATGTTTTAAAAATAACTGTTTTCATAATATCACATTATTTGTCTTTTTCACATTCATTTTTTTCATTATACAGTGGAATTTTTTAGAGACATGACATGTTTTGATATCTTTGTTTTCATAACTGAAGGAATATGAGCTTATATACAGGGTTGGGCAAAAGTAGTAGTAGGTTTAAAGTTGTTTGTCTGGAAAATAATACAATAGTTAAATAATAATAATACAAGAATAAACTCTTTCATATACTGACCACTGTAAACCTACTTTTGCCAACCCCCTGTGTCTTGTTTTAAATACTTCTTGGTTTTGATTTCCAGAAGAGTAAATATTGATAGATATAATCCACATCAGAAAAAACTCTTTTGAATCCTTGGTAACTTTTAAGAGCGTAAAGAGGTCTTAAAACAAAAAAGTTTGAGAACTGACATGAGAACAGTTTGGAAGCTATTTATAGTTCTGAGACTATACAGTGAATTGAACTAAGATGACTGGAGCTTGAAAGAAGCAGATGGGATTCAGAGTATTTAGGAGGTTAAGCTGAGAGAATTTGGTGATAAGTAAGATATATAATATAGGAGCTCTGGCTAGTGTGGCTTAGTTGGTTGGAGCATCATCCCAGAAACTGGAAGGTCACAGATTCGATTATTGGCCAGCCCACATGCCTAGGTTGCAGGCTTGGTCCCCAATCAGGGAGCATGCGAGAGGAAATTGATTGATATTTCTCTCACATCAATGTTTCTCTCCCTTTCTAAAAATCAATAAGCATGACCTCAAGTGAGGATAAAAAAAATAGATATATAATATAGGAAAGAAGGGAGAAAACAAAATGCTGCTTTCTATAAAAGGTTTTATTTATTTATTGAGAGAGAGGGGAAGGGAGGGAGACAAACATCGATGTGACTGGGAATCAAACTGGTGACCTTGTGGTTTGCAGGCTGGTGCTCAATCCACTGAGCCACACCAGCCAGGATGATTCTTGAGCTTTAGGTTTCAGTAACAGCATAGGTGGTAGTGTTTGTCATAAGACCAGGAAACTAAAGGAGGATCAGCAAAAGTGCGTATGCTCAACATTATATATAGTGAATCTGAAGTGCCCATTAAACAACTAAATGACTGTCAAATAAACCTTGATGAGAGTAGAGTAGATGAAAATTTGGAAGTTATCAGCATATAGGTAGCCACTGAAGCCACAGAAGTGGTAAGATTGTCCAAGGAGCATAGGCGGAGTGCGAAGCGTTGGAACACTGAAGTACTATAATATTTAAAAGTGGGATAGAACAGTATAAACCGATGCTGGAAATTCAAGATAGACTGGTCAGAGATAGGAAGAAAATATGGTGGAAACAAGGCAAAATGACTATTACAAGGAGGGAGATTAAGTAAGACAAGGATTGAAGGGATCCCCACTGGATTTTGTGACATGAAGCTGATCACATGGCAACTGCTATGTTTCAGCAGAATGGGAGAAGACAAATGGAAATGGTTGAGGAATGAGTAGGAAGTAAATAGTTAATATATTAAGTACAGCTAAGTTTCTAAAATTCTGAAAACACAGTAGACATTTAAATTCTGATGAGGACAGTCTAGTAAAGAGAAAAAGGATGAATTATAAGAATAGTTGATTTTTAACAAGAACAGAGATGTAGTGGTCAGGAAGTAACAAGGGGGCAAGAGAAAGCTCTCGATCTCATTTTACACCACACACACGTAAAACTCATGAACGTTCCACGGATTTGCAGTTTGGAAGTACTAAAACAAACAAGTTACTATCAAGAGAAGATAACAATTCAATATACACATGTACTCTAAATTGTAGTTACTTATATGTCTAACAATATTTAAGAAATAATCTAAAATTATTTTAAAATAAATTAATACTATTAAGATTCATGGGAAAAGAATGACCTACCCTTGGTCCTCTTCCTTTAATTTTCCTGCCAGACCTAGTAACCAGAAGTCGCCTCTGGTATGAAGCAGGTTGGGGGTTAGGCGGATTACTAGAAGGAAGTGAAAATACATTATTTCATAAAAATAAATCTGAGGAATACAGTTTTAATGATCTAAAGTAATCAATTTAAAGTCTTATATATAATCAGTGGTTCTCAACCAGGTGTGTTATTAATTCCTAGCAGGTATCTGGAAAAGTATGGGAGCATTTTTTTTTTTCACTATCAATAACTAGACAAGGTGCTGTTGGTACTAAGTGCCCAGGAGTCAGGAATGCTAAAACCTCGTAATGCATAAGGATGAAGAACTATCCTGCCCCCAAAATTCCAACTGTGTCCTGTTGAGAAACACTGTTGTATCATCACTACTAAAGATGAAGTTAACTTGATAGTGCTAAGGAAAATCAACATAGAAGAGCTCAGAGTAGGCTGTACGCTGTTGAGAAAATAGTTTTAAAACTTATTCCAAAGTATCCTATTATCTTATCAAAAGCTGTTCATCGGTAATAAAACTATACCAAAGAGTAATTAATGCGAATTAAGTAGAAACAAGGTAGTCTGAATTAAGATGTTTATATCATAGAAAACAATTTTCAAATAACGAGTTAATATTGATTAGCATTAGCAATACCAATGTAAGTTATATTTGAAAAGTTTGTTCTTAAGTAGTGCAAACATTTTTCCTTTAATATTTTCTTCCTTAGAAACATCCTTGCTTAAAACATGAAGAAAAATAAAAGTTCAATCCATCAATATTAAAATAACTAAGATTCTTTTTACATTTTTACTGTATTAAAGAAGTATAAGAGGATTGCTCAGAACTTTATTACTTTTATAATACACACCTGATCATAAATAATAGACTTCAATCTTTTATGTAGAAAAATTTTGAAAGTATTTGAACATGATACCATTACTAAAATTTCACAAATCACGAAAGGAAAACAACATTATTTTACATATCAGAGGACTAAGAAAAGGTTTTTACTTGCTTAGAACTTTAATGTATACAACTACACAGTAAAACACTTATCTAGCTTTTAAATGGAATTGGTTTAGAATTTTGCTTAACATCATTTTGGCATTTGCAGTGCTTTTTTCTTCCAAAGAAAGTTTTACTCAAAATCTGTTTGAATTAAGTCAATTTATCCTTTTAGCTATGTGGCTAGCAAAAAGAAGCTTTATGAACATTACTCTATAAAAAGATTTCAATATTGGGACAAAGTCACCAATTAAATCTTGCCTAAAATAAATAAACACTTTTTTAAGAAAAAAGATTATGGTAAAGATTGTAGGGAACTCTACAAGACATATACATTCACATACCACTCTCTCTCTCTGTCTCTTTCTCTGTTTTTCCTTTCTTTTTCATCAGCTTTAGGAGGACTTTTTCTCATTAAAAATCTATTTTCAGGTATAGGAGGGATCTCTTCTGGACGGACAGTAGACTGGGGTTGTGTGTCAAGATTTTCAGCCTCACTTTCACTAGATGCGCTTAATAGAAACACAAAACAAATTTCATTCAGTTACTGACTACCCCAAATATCTGATTGTTGTTATTACTTTCCTTTTTTTTTAATGTTATAAACTCTTTTTTTTAGGCAATGATTTCTTTTTTAATCATTGTTCAAGTACAGTTTTCTCTATTTCTTTCCTTTAAGATATCGATATATTATGCCATCTAGTACCCCCCAAAGATAGTTACATGGGAAAAATGCAATTCCTTCCTGTGACAAACCAACCAAAAATTAAAACAAAATGTTTCCATTGTCACATTCTCAAAAAATATTTCCCACTAAAATGGGTCCAAAATATGAAACTCCATGGCAATGTACTCTGATAAACTTATGATACTTTAAAATGAAGGTAAAGAAATTAGTTGCTTTAGAGGCAATAGGCATATAAAAACAAATTTTAGTACAAACACATTATTTCAGACAAAAACGGAAAAAAAGAAAAGAAAGAAACACAATGACATCTGCCTTTTATCCTTATGCCCTTAGAGGAGCAAAAGAAGTGCAAGACAAAAGAGCAAGAGAGACTGTGAGAGAAAATAAGGAACACAATCACTGGTTTCCCATTACTCTCACTAATCCCATATACCTCCCATAAATACAAACCTACAAAACCAAAAGCACAATTTCATTGAGATCAGACAAAATAAACTGAAGTTTTGTTAAAAATGGAAATGAGTATGACCCAAATTTAATTTACAGACTGTAGAATATCAAAATGGTTTTATACTTCATGCTATAACATATTTCTATTTTAATGTTCCCATATAATTGATCCAAAATCCCAACAGATTTATTTATAAACAGAAGGGAATTAGAATATAACATTAGTGACAAAAATAAAATGAAGACCTTTTCTTGCTTTTCTTGCGCTTCTTCTTTTCTTTCTTGTGTTTTCGGGAATTTTTCCTGTGTTTCTTTTTTCTTTTTTTTGATTTCTCTTCAGAAGCACTTTCAGAATCAGAAGAATCAGAAGAGGACTGAGAATCACTTGAGCTATCTGAGTCACTGGATGATGATGAGGAGGAGGATGATTTATGCCTTTTTTTTTCTTCTTTCTTAGCTTTTGTTAAAAAACAAAAAGGATTTTTGGTCAACGCTTTTTAGACAAACTTTGTAAGTGGAAAATTTATATTTTCTAAGTCCAGTATTTAACACCTAGCTCACCCACCTATTTGAATTGAGGGGTAAAGGAAAGGAGTCAAGAGTCAGGATTAGAATCCAGATCCCCAGGACTTCTGGTCAAGATGGAGGCATAGGTAGACATGTTTCACCTCCTTGTGCAACTACAAGAATGAACCTCAAAACAAATAACATCCAAAACTCCCAGAATATCAAACTGTATGGAAGTCCAACCACTAAGGATTTAAAGAAGCCACATTCATCCAGATGGGTAGGAGGGGCAGTCAGAGTGGAGCGGCAAGGAGACAGGGTCTGGTGTGGAGAGGTGGTGGAATTGGCAGTCACACATTCATGACTGGCAGATAAAAACCAGGAGGGATACCTTGGGAATGAGCAATTCTAGCCCCAGGCCAGACCACACAGCCCAGGATTCTATTGCCGGGAAGATAAGGATCCACAATTTCTGGCTGTAAAAACCAGTGGGGGTTGACACAGTGGAGCAGAAGGAACTGCCAATTTCTTAGGAGAGTCCATTTCAAGGTCCTGCATGGACTCAGAGCATATGTAAACCCGCCCACTCCGGGATATACCACCAGGACAACAGCTGAAAGGGTACCAGTCACATATAGGAAGTGGGTGAAGTAACTGGAAACAGGGTGAGGGCCCAGAAAATCTCCAGAAGCCAGGCAGCAGTTCTGTCCCCTCTCTGAGCCCTCCCCCAACACAGAGCCACAAAGTGGTGGGGTGGGTCACCCTGCCCTGGCGAATACCTAAGACTCTGGCCCATACAACTTAACAGGTGTGCTAAAACAGGGAGTCAAAGCAGCTCTACCTAATACACAGAAACAACACACAGGGAGGCTGCCAAACTGAGGAGATAACGAAATATGGCCCAAATGAAAGAAAGGAACCAAATTTCAGAAAAGGAACTAAACCAATCAGACGCAGAGTTCAAAACACTGGTGATCAGGATGCTCAGAGACTCACTGAATATGGCAATAACATAAAGGAAGAAATGAATGTTATACTAAATGAAATAAAGAAAAATCTATAGGAAACCAACAGTGAAGGGAAAAAATTGGGATTCAAATCAATGATTTGGCATATAAGGAAGAAATAAACATTCAACCAGAACAAAAAGAAGAACCAAGATTTGAAAAAATGAGGATAGTATAAGATGATTCTGGGACATCTCCAGAGGTGCCAACATCCCAATCATAGGGATGCCAGAAGAAGAGTAAGAAATTGCAAACTTATTTGAAAAAAGAATGAAAGAAAACTTCCCTAATTTGGCAAAGGAAATAGACAGCAAGTCCAGGAAACAGAGAGAGTCCCAAAGAAGTTGGACCCAAGGGAGCACACACCAAGACACATCATACTTAAGTTACCAAAGATTAAAGATAAGGAGAGAATCTTCAAAGCAGCAAGAGGAAAGCAGAGAGTGACCTACAAAGACGTTCCCATAAGACCATCAGCTGCTCTCTCAAAAGACACTTTGCAGGCAAGAAAGGACAAGGCAAGAGGTATTTAAAGTGATGAAAGTCAAGGACCTAATAAGCTAGATTACTCTACCTGGAAAGCTATCATTTAGAATCGAAGGGCAGATACAGTGCTTCTCAGACAAGGTAAAGCTAAAGGAAATCATCACCCAGCCATTATTACATGAAATGTTAAAGTGATTTATTTAAGAAAAAGAAGTTCAAAACTATGAACATTAAAATGGCAACAAATTCACAAGTGAATCTAAAAAAACAAACAAACTAAGCAAACAACCACAACAGGAACATAATCTAGATACGGAGATCATTTGGAGGGTTATCAGTGGGGAGGGGAGAGAATGGGGGAAAAGATAAAGAGAATAAGAAGCATAATTGGTAGGTACAGAACAGATAGGGGGATGATAAGAATAGTCTAGGAAATAGAGAAGCCAAAGAACTTACATGCACCACTTGAACTAAGGGGAAGGGACTGCTGGAGAGAAGAGGGGATACCAGGCAGAGGGGGGCAAAAGGGGATAAATTAGGACAACTGTAAAGCATATTCAATAGAATATACTTAAAAAAAAGAGAATCCGTATCTCCAGATTCATGGGTCAGAGTTGTATGCATTAAACTAATGAATTCTGGAAAAGTAACAGGTAAATCTAAAACAATAAACTAATTTTAGGAAACATTTGATAATATAGTTTTTTTAAAAGGCACAGAAGTAACATTTAAGAGTCCCAGATCAAATCTTACAGTGTTTGACTTTTTCTTTAATCAAGACTGAAAGTAGAATTGGAGGAGAGAAATAGAAGAAAAAACAATTTGCATGAATGTGGAAAGATAAGGAACACGATTCCATTAGCATGGGCTTATGTTTCCATGCCTATGCATTCTCCTAAGATTAAGAAATGTAGCTTTAGTTTAAGAGAAGATTTACAACAGAGGGTGGTCATTTGCCAATGATTAATAATATTTTGAAGTATCTACCAAAAAATTTCAAATTAAAATTTTACTTTGGCTTAAGGAAATGTTAATTTTAGAAGGGGTACCAAAACTCGAATACTTTAAGAACTAGGCAAGTAACATAAATAAGTGAAGTTAACCAGGTATAATAAAACAAAAATTGGGGAAAGATATGACAAACTAGATAGAGCGTGACTCATCTAAAGGTATTCTAATTCAAACCATGGTGGCCTTAAAAAATGAAATCAAGCCAAAGATGGGAGACCATTGATATACAGATAGCTACTATAAACTGGAACACATCAACTACATTAAAATCTATCAGTTCATAACGACATTGGTAAGTAAAATACAAAGCATTTATCCTTCTTTTCCTATCTGAACTGTACCACTAACTAAATAGCAGATGAAGATGCTCTTTATCAAAAGTATTCTAGGAATAAATGTAGTAAGCAGAGTTAGAATATCATCATTTCACAACTAACTCATCACTAATGGACACTGCAGAGCACAAAGATAACCTGTCTTATGTGACTTTGTGCTCCTATCAAAAGGAACTAAAAAAAAAACTAATCAAAACTGCATTGAATCAATTTTCTAGGACCACAGTTTCATGAAATAGAAGTACAGAAACAACACATTACAAAATATACAGGTGCAACCAGTAAAATCCAGTGTGTACAATATTGGAAAACAGAACAAATGATTTAGGCTGATCAACAAATCTTAAAGAAAAATATAAAGGAAGATGGGATTGGCCTCTATTGAAAAAACAACAATGAAAAGCCTTGTAAGACCAGGCCTAATGTTTAAACTTTATTTGGACTGAAATATCAAGAAATTAACATCAGCCCTGGCTGGTGTGGTTTGGTTGACTGAGTGCTGGCCTGTGAACCAAACAGTTGCTGGTTCAATTCCCAGTCAGGGCACATGCCTGGGTTTCGGGCCAGGTGCCCCAGTGTAGAGCATGTGAGAGGCAACCACACACTGATGTTTCTCTCCCTCTCTTTCTCCCTCCCTTCCTCCCTTTCTAAAAATAAATAAATAAAACATAAAAAATTAACATCAATAAAACAATCAGGAATTTGATTATTATCAGATTTTTTATATTTAGAAATGTGTGTATATATATGTTTTCATACTATGGTGTTGGTTATCTTTTAAAGTCATCTTTTAGAGATAATATTTATCAATAAAATGTTATACCAGAATTTGCCTCAAAATAACAGAAAAGAGAGAACTGGCCAGGAATAGGTAAGAAGAGACTGTCTATAAATTAATTTTTGAAGCTGGTTAATTCATATGGGTGTTTTGTTATACTGTTTCAATCACCTCTATATATGTTAATGTTTTCCTCAATAGGCAAATCAAAGAGGACAAGGAAAATATATCTTTGGACTAACTGTTGGCTTTCTGTTTACATAACTTTACTGAAAGGTTTAACAGTTAGTTTGTAATCTTTCCTTTCTTTAGCTCTAGGAATACCTAAGGATTTGGCATTTGGCCAAATCATTCTTGACACTCTTAACTCAAAATATACAGACATGTACTAATTCACAGTAAAAGTGAGAATCTGGCCGAAGTCACTATATATTTGGTTGAGGACTTGTGGTTCACTGTCAAGATAGCTTTTCTAGTATCAATGACAAGCTGCTGCACTAAGAATAGGAACAAGGTAAAAAAAACTGAAGCGACCCAGAGGTAAAGGCTTCTTCAGTCAGTTGTGCTCACAACAATGAATACGTGAAGTGTGAGATGCCTGAGACATACACAAGCTCTGCCTAGAATTTATGAGGTCTCCATGATGTTGCTCCTGTACAAGCCATGCAGTTTTCTGTCCTATATCATTTCTTAAAGATAAATAGTCTTACTTCTGAGTGAAGCCCATCTTGTTCCATTAGGTCAACTATTAATCTGAATGCAAGGCCACTGCTGCTGGTGAGGCAGAGTGGGTACACAAATATATATAACCTGAAATATCTACTTATATATACTAAAAACCTGAGGGACATTAGGAGGGTAGGTGGGGATCAGACTTAAAGAAATCTAAGGGGAAGAAAATAAATTCATAGTGATTATGTATAACTCTAAATAAAAATACCCCAGACCACATAATATGAAAGCAAAATAAAAATTTTCCACATAAGTACAAAACACAGCTGTTAAAATTACTTGACTAATGCTTTACCCCATGATTAACACAGTTTTATTTACCAGTTCTAACTTTTCATTTATTTTGCATTGGGATTCTTTCCTATGAGAAATACTCTGCCATTTGTTTCTTTAAAAAGCAAGCCCATTCTCCCCACGAAATGTATTTCAAACAGCATTTGTTTAGTTTACACATCACTTGTCAGGAAAATATCTGAGTGAAGCAAGATACCACACTAATATGGAAGGCTAGAAAGAGATTTAACTATTTTTATGGTAATATAATCTGCCTGAGTATCATATGAAAACTAAAAAAGGAAAAACTGTGTTTAAGAAAAGATGC